GCTAGCATGTAATTTTCATTATAACAAGGATTTTTTAATCTGTTTTGTTTAATGACCTATTCAAGAGACAAGAAACAGTGTCTGGAATGTAGAGATTGCTTGCTAAATATTTGTTCAATGAAGAATTGAAGAACAATTCATATTAGATAATCTGCTGTAATTTCTTGACATCCTTGGGTGTGCTCATTAGGAAAGGCTAACCCTCCAAATGCCTGGAATGACCTAAACCCAGGGGGTACACCCTCTGGCTGCCCTTTTCACCTACCAAGACTTTTATTTACCTCCCTCTTCTCCTAATTTTTAAAATATTTCTTATGTTTTCCTGCTTTCTGCTTTTAACCTCAAAACTTCTAACACTCTTTTCTAAGTCCTGTCTATTGTCCCCTGCCGGATCATTCCTATTAACTCCTTTTTTTACAACGTGATGACCAAAACCCTAATGTGGCATTCCTGGAAGGAAAGCCCCAGCCAGGAATGTCACAGCTCCAGAGCCTTTTCAGAATTCTCCATCCTCTAATTAGGATGGCCACACATCTCAGCTGCTGCTTTTGACTGCTGCTGTGAGCTGAATGTTGATGCCCATCTTTGTGCTTAGATAATTTCCCTGAGCAGCTAAAACTAATAATCAGTGGTATTTTCAATAGGGCCTTTCCATTTAGTGTGGCTGAGTTATTTTGCACTTCATTTTTTTTTTTAGGTTGAATTTAATTCCTTGTCATGTTTCCTAATTAAGAAGATTTGTGAGATTCATTTTGATTTTTTGAAAAATTCCTTCCCAGGAATGCTTATCTTCGCTTCAGTCAGTGTTTCATCTGCTTATTGCACCTCTTAATTCCTGCTGGGGTTGTTAACGTGTCAGACTTCAACAGCAGGGTTGGTTCTGGGGCCGCCTCATTGTTGGCTCTTTTTCAGACGGAGGCTGGGTCTTTATATTCAAGGCTGATGGGCACAAATGCAGCTTTCTCTCCACTACTCCTTCACCCTCTTTTGGCCCCTAGTCTCTCTTTTTGCGCCTTCTTGCAGGTTCCTGTTTCTTCTTTCTGTCTAACACAGCCTGTCTCTCATATCCATTCCTAGTGCTCCCCAAACGCTGGCTGCAACTGTGATCTCCTAAAACAAAAACAGTTATGATCATAACATTAAAATAATAGTTAATATTGTATCTTGTGTCTCACCACTTCTTTTCTTTTGTTTTCTTCTATCGTCTTAGGGGGTGACTGATCCCCCTCTCCCCTAAGTTCAACTTGCCCTGCTTTTCATTCGTCAACCTGTTTTCTCCATTAGTTTATTTTCATGTTTGCCAATGAGATGTCCCCTCTGCTCTTTTTCTTCTCCTCTCTCCTTTCCCCTAAGGCATTTTCTCCTAACCCTCTTGACATTGGAAGATCTATAAAATACTTAGAATCATTCAAGAATCCCTCTGCTGGGTTTACCATGGCTTAAGATATCTCCACTCAGAACACACAGAGCAAATGTGAAAGATAAAGCCAAATGTCTGACCTTCCTGAGAAAACCAGTGACCATGGTCAGTATACATAGTTTCCACTACTGTGGCATCCTGCCTGGAACAATGATGCAGAGGGAAATGTTCCTGTGCTAGGCACTATGTAACAGGGGGAATGGCAGGCATGACACACAGAAAGTAATCTTCTGAAAGACTGTGAGAGGTTGGGCTCAAACGATGAGGCCATCCTTGAGAAAGCTGTGGGAGAGTGTGGGCCAAGTCATTTTCTATGAGGATATTTGGCAAAGTCCTAGATCCATTACATTTCCTCAGCCAAATGGGGTGGATCCATCACTGGTTGCAAACTAAGATACCTAAAATGGACCAGGCAGGTAATGAGACAGAAAACCCATTTCTAGTGTAAAATGGTCAGAGTGGCTCCATTCAGCTGTTGGCACAGGGGAATACAGTTCCAAGGTGAAACTGGAGTTGCATATAGTGAAGGGTGAAATTTCCCAGTTTTAAAATCGTAGCCATTTTTTTAATCAAAAATTTAAATATTCTCTGTGCATTCATTAAATCTCACCAATTTGTGACCCTAGTACTAAGTAATCATTTGCACAATTCTTTCCCATAATTAACTCTTAAACTCATTAGTTCTAAATCAGTAATAATAAGAAAAAATTAACACTAAAATTTGTACAGCTGTTTTTAGTTCCCTTCATGTTACTTTGGTATATAGCAGTATATTTTAAAGGTTTATCCACCTAATATATATTAATATTCATTGCATTCTCTCTATCCCATTCTCCTATCACTAGCCAGACAACACCAATATCAAGTCTTCAAGGAAATGAAATATAAGAGAGAGAGAGAGAGAGAGAGAGAGAGAGAGAGAGAGAGAGAGAAACACAGAGTTGAAGAAAAGATTGAGGACCTGGTTCTAATCTTCCTAGACTTACTTTATAAAAATCCACTGCACCTTTAAGAAAAAGCTAATTTCTAAATTAATTAAACTGCTGCTATTTACTAGCATTATTCTGATGCCAAAACTTGTTAAAGATAATCACAAAAATGACAGTAGTGATGGAAGATTTTCATTCATTTTAAGTAATTTTTTTCAGTGTTAGGGATTGAATCCCTCATGTGTATGCTTAGTACATGCTCTGCCACTAAACTACACCCCTCAAACCAATTACAAGTACAATTTAATCCTAAATAAGAGAGGAACAAACTGAATCAAGCATGATATTCAAGATATAATTTAACAAAACAGAGGATGAAATGTAAGGATGTAATGGAATGTAAGGATGGTCTGAACATTAGATATATTAGTGTAATTCATTATATTTACTTAGAGTAAAAATAGGAATATAATAATAGTCTAAGAGACAGTTGATAACAATTAATATCCTTTTCCAATTAGAATCTTAGAGTAAACTAGTAATAGAAAGAATTTTTTAAAAGATAATAATGTATTTAAAGAATATATATCATCATCTAGGAGCACAAACTTGTTCTATTGCATTACAACTGAGTGCCAATTATCTAGTTCTACATTATTCAAAATTTTCCTGGTATTTTGGAGAGTGCAATAAGGAAAAAGAAAACTAAATTACTTGCTGGTGATATAATTATCTATATACATTTAAGAGAAAAGCTTATAAACTATTGGAATTAATTAGGTATTTTCACAGTTGAAAATGATAATTACACAAAACTCAATGGTTTTTCTAAATTGCAGCAGTGAAAAATATCTCATTCACAAAAACTGTAAAATATTTACAAACAAATTTCACAATAATTGTGCAAACTTACATGAAAGATATTTTAAAAATACATTTAATGATATAAAAGACCTAGGGTTGAGGTATATACAGCTCAATGGTAGAGCATGTGCTTGGACGTTTGGGACTCTAGGTTCAATTCCAAGCACTGAAACAAACAAAGAAACAAACAAACAAAACACTACCTAATATGTTTAGTGATGTGTTCCTGAATGAGAAGACTCATGATTTTGAAAACTCTAAAAAAAAAAAAAAAAGGTCAGGAAAGGAGTTCTTTATGAAAGAGCAAATATATTACTAAGCTATAACAGGCATGGCATAGGAAAAAGCATATATTTAATAGAATAAATAATAAAAATGTTTAAACATGTATGTATATATATACATATATATGCAAATTTTACTTGTGATTAAGAATGGCTCTCCTAGCTGGGTATGGTGGTGCATGCCTGTAATACCAGCAGCTCTGGAGGCTGAGTCAGGAGGATCAAAAATTCAAAGCCAGCCTCAGCACCAGGGAGGCAGTTAGCAAATCAGTGAAACACTGTCTCTAAATAAAATACAAAAATAGGGCTGGGGATGTGGCTCAGTGGTTGAGTGCCTGAGTTCAATCCCCAGTACCAAAAAAAAAAAAAAAAGAATGTCTCTTCTAAGTAGTGGGAAAGGAATGAATTTTTGATACAACTGATTAACCACTGGCAAAATTTCTGTAATCTTTTATTGAACAATTTCATTTCTGAGAATTAATTCTAAGGAGGTTAATGGACAAATGTGAAAAAATGCCTGAATGTTTATTGCAGCATATTTTTAAGAGTAAAAAACTGAAAACCACTTAAATATCTATCCACAGTAGATTATTATAAATATGTGGGTACATACCAACTATGGAATTCCATCAGTCTACTTGGAATGGAGGATATCATTAAAAAAATCACTAAATTATGTTAGTTACATGTACTGATATGTAACAATGAAGCCCAATATTATATACAATTATAGTGCACCAAAAACTGATATTTAAAAAAAGGAAAATCAGTCCTTAAATCTATAGGTATTCTTTGATCACTTGAAATATGTATGTGAAAGTATAAACATGTCCAGAAGAATATATAACAAGCTGTTATTTTCATTTTCTATAGGTAAATATTACTTCTTTGCCTTTCTCTTAGCTCTCTTTACCCAGTAACTAAAGTAGGAGTACATATTGTGCTCATAACTTCAACTTCCTGCAGGAGCTTTGAGACATTCTACCCTAGATAAGAATTACTCTCATAGAACCCTATACTTGCTATACTACTTATGAGCCATATTGTACCTTTTTGCTGCTTTTCCAAAATCCATGAAGGCAGTGACTGTGTATTGATCAGTGTCATTTGAGAACCTAGTAATGTCTATTAACTGTCACTTTTTAAACTTTAGTATATGCCAAACAGTGTGCTATCTATACTCATCTTCCAAATAGCCCCCGGTCAAGCTGTGATCAATTTTCAAGCCTGTGTGATTCCTGGCCACTACACTCACTAAAAGGTGCTCAATAAATATCGGTTTTACAGGAAAGAAACACAACCAGCCACAGCTCGGTGGAGGTGTAGCAGTGGAGATCTAGCGCTGGAGGACGATGGTTGGACTAGAAGTCTTTTAAACTCCTTCACAGGCCAGGTATTCCCAAGCCCCGCCCATGAAGACCCGCCCGTGGAAGCCCGGAAGGGAGCGACGGGGACAGGGCTAGCTTCCGGGAGTGGGGCGGGGCCATCGCTGATTGGCTGGTTTCGGGCGGAAGTCGGGATGTTAGGTGGTCTGAAGACGCTAGCTTGTGACAGGGAGGGGGAGAAGGAAGGCCTGCGTAAACTGTGCCTCTCGGTCCCTACGCTCCCGGGGACCCTTGGAAAAATCACAACACCCCGGCCCCCGCAGCTAGCTCCTTCCCTCAGGCTCTCTCCGCTCGATTTCGCCACCGTTATGTGGGAAGCGAATCCAGTGAGTAGCCGGGCGGGACCCAGTGGGCGGGGTTGATGGGAGAGGGGCGGGAGGGGGTTCCCGGGAACTGCCCCCCTCACCCCAGTCAGGCTGGGTGTTTGAGTTCCGATGGCGCCAGTGTCCCAGACTTTGTGGAGGGGCTTTTGCCATGTTCAGTCCCTGCCTTTTTTAGTGGTAGAGATAGCTCCGTGGGTTCTTCAACGCGTTTTTTGCTTTCTTTTTCGAGTTATTTATTTTACTTTCGTTGGTTTCTCCACCTTCCTTCCTTCACGGGTCTTTACTTTTTGAAACTTTGTATTTTGCTTTCTAATTGGAATTGTTGGTCGTGGAACCTGTTCTCCCTTTTCCTCAGGAGTACCTTTCAGCCCCACCCCACTAAAGCGAGGGAATTCAACCCCTATGGTTTGAACAGACCCAGGGAGAACAATCAGTACCCCTTTTCCCTTCTTGGTGGAAACCATTTAACACTCGAGGATCAACTGTTTTTTTCCTAAACTACTGGATGGTGAAGTTTTTAGATGTTTTCTTTCAATGGTTAGACCGATGATCTGGAACGTTTTCAACTGCAATTCTGTCTCCTTCCTTGTTTGACTCGGGTATTTGCATTATTCCTGCATGTGTTTTGTCTACTTTGTTTTTATCCATTTATTTTTTTAAGGTGCAGCCCTCAAGCAATGGGATCTGTTTGCCAAGAGTATTCCGTTCTTCTCTTGTTACCGTTGAAACCACCTAGTATTATGGCACCTATACACTTTACAACTTAGGAGTTGACAGGGAAAATAACAGAATCATATTTCAAGTTTCTGGACTCAATATGTGAAACTAAGCCATATGCTGAGATAACTGCCAAAATTTACTCTAAAACCCCTCAATATCGATACTTGAATTTTACTACAAATAGTACTCCTCTCTTCTTATTTCTGGAATGTATTTCCAGAGACGTTAGCTTATCAGTACATTCCTTTATGTTTTCATCCAGTAGAAACTAGTGTTTTGGTCAGGATTTGATAGTTGCCTGTTGTGGTTCTATCCCAATCCATCATATAAAAGTAGTCTTCATTGAAGTTTATTTTTTGATTCATACATATAATATTGTAATCAGGTCATATTAAAGGAAAATAATTGCTTGTATTTGACTTTAATAAAAATAATTTGGAATTATGAGAATATGTTCATATATACTTATATTCAGTTTCACCATTATCAATAATCTTCATTTTATATGTTATCTGGACATTTCTATATATGTGTGTGTATGTTATAGATGTATTCGGTTTTTATGAGCAGTCTGTTTTGATTCTTCATAACAACAACTTGAGTCATCTTTATATTTGTCTTGCTCAAGGTTACATGTTCTAAATTCTTCACTGTATTGTAAGCTCCAGAGGAGCATGAATTTTTTTTATGCTTACTATAGTATCTTCATCTAGAGAATAGATGCTGGTGCTTAATAAATATTTGTGAATTCATAATAGTGATTGGATCAGTACTGTACTAGGATTCTTTGCTTTTTATGTTCATTTTCTTCCTGTATCACACATACATCAGAATTTACAGATCATTTGTTTGTGAGAATTATAAATGCATTTGTGAATGTTTCACATTTGGTTTGTAAAATTATGATCCTGTTTCTTTGTAAGAAATGTTCAGTTTTCTCTGAAATTACTTTGATGATTTTTTAAAAAAAATTTCAGCAGAACAGGCTGACTTTTGTTTAATAGTAATGAACCTTCCATATTTTCTTCTTTTGAACTTTATGGTACCCTCATATAGCTTAATGCTTCTGTTTTTTATTACTTACCAATAATGTTTTTTGTGTGAGCATAGGAACACTGTGAACAAATGAAGTTTACTTTTATTAGCTTACATTTTTTTAAAGATAAATATTCTACTGGGCTTTCTCTAGTAATTTGTTAATTTCTTTTAGTAGAAGGGGTTTCTGGATAGTCTAAATGTGTTCATGGAATAAAAATTAATGGTACCCTAAGTCATATACAACTGGGAAGATTTCAAAATGCCAGTAAACAAAAACCATAGTGGATAAATGCAGATGACTTTTGCATTACAAGTCAATGTTAAGTCACTGTTTATCATTCTTTCCATTGAATGAAATAAATGCTGTTTTGTGAAGGAAGGCTATTGTTAACTGCTTTAATTGAAGAATTTTATTTAGTTTATTTCTGTATATTCTGGTAGCATCCATGACCTTAATATACCACCTATGGCCTGCAAATATACCTCCTGTTGCTCCTATTGCAAATATACTTACTTTGTGATATTGCATTCCACTCACAAGTATTCTGATAAAATATTACACTGACCCTGGCCATGTTCCTAATCAGAATCAGCCTCCCCTTCCCTGTGAAAAGTTTTCAGGAAATGGTTTGAGTGTGGAAAATCACCACTGACCTTTCAACATTTCCTTTGGCATGGTGGAGACCTAAAACAAGGGAACCAAGGAATCAAATAAATTTTATACCTGTCTTCAAATATAAAATTGTGAACTCAGATAATATTTGAAAACAAATATAAGGTCTTTGATGATGCCTTTCACTGACCAGGAACTGTGGGGTAAGCATAAAGTTCTTGCCAAGGTAGGTCAGATTGACAGAAGCAGGAGGCAGTTCTCATATGTGCTCTTGGCATTTCTCTACCCACCTGGGGGAGGGAGCCCATGACTAACATCTCCCAGTTTAGGAAAGTGGTGTAGTCTGTGGGATGAAGTTGAAGGGGTTGCCATCACAGTTTTGACTTTATGTACCCTGATTTTATCCTGCTTCTCACTTTCTCTTTTCTTCCTTGTCTTCTGTCTCTTTGCTGGGATTGGAATAAGTAGTTCCCTGGAATTAAACTAGATAGAAGTTAATTTTAGCTTTTTGTTATTACACTGATGAAGAGAATTATGAACTTACAAACATTTGTTCATGAGTATAAACTGTCAATTTCAAAAATAGTATCTTACTTCATAGAAAGTACTCTTCCAAAATTGTTTTTCATTTATTAACTCATTATTAGAATAATTTGATATGTTAGTTAAGAGAGAAGAAAATGGTTTTCCCAAGATCATGGAGCAAGTAAGCAGTGTGTCAATACCCAAGTCATCTTTACACTGCATTCTGACTCTGCTGGTAACAATGATAACATTTGTTTATAGTGTGATGCTTTTTCTGCAGAGCCAACATCTTCCCTGTTATTTTACATTCATGGCTGTTTCTCACCTACCATTCAATATCTTCTTTTTCTGTTAAACTGCTTGAAAAAATAATCTTACGCTTTTGTCATTCTTACCCATACCTCAGCTCTTTCAGTCTAACTTCTTCCCCTAATACTTGTCAAAAGGTCACCAAGAACTTTGAATCACCACATAAAACAGCAACTTACTTTTATCTTTTAGCAACTTTGATGCAATCACAGGTTTTCCTCAAAACTTTTCCTTTTTGGTGTCCTTGGAATTGTACTCCTTTGGGTTTCTTCTTTTTATGATTTGTCCTTGAATTATAATCCCCCCGTGGCTGCATGGCTTTCTGCCCCCGAAATGTCCTACCTTTTATCTTATTTTTTTTTCAGCATATCATTTTTTGGTGAGCTTCAAGGCTTGAAAATATTACTATAATAAATATTCCTGCCAGGTGTTCATCTTTAGTCCTAAGTTCGTCTGAGCAAGGTGGTGGACAACTCTATTGGATGTCCTCTAATAGTACAAACTTAGGATGTATGAACCAAAATGACTCAGACATTAATTCATTTATTCATTTCACTCAGCAAATAATGTAAGTATCTAACACATGAGAAAGAAACACTATTTTAGATATTAGGGATGGGGGATATAAACATGGATCAAATCAGAACCTACTCCTGAGGGGGCTTGCAGTATAGTTTTGGGAGAGAAAGTGATATCTGGGTACTTCAAGCGTTCATTGAAATGATTTATATTTAAGCTAGCTCTTTAAATTATAGAAATGGTCTTATGGGAATATCAAAGGAAGCAAAATAACCAAAGCCTATGAAAGTAAAAGAGAATGGCAAGTACAGTTTGAATAAAGGAATGAAGTGGAGAAAGTACAGATCTCATGATTAATTTCTCAGTATGGGCATTATTAGAGAATGAAGATGGAAAGGTATGGGCAGTGGTAACTAACATGGAATTTTTCTTTTGAGTCTGGCAGTATATTATACAGAGATACTCACAGACTGAGTTGAGAATGGAGGTAGGATGTGTTCCTGGAAATAACAGTTCTTTAGGAAACATAGTATCTATGAAGATGTGTTCCTGACAGTGTAATTTATTACAGGACCAATCAACAATTCCTTTAATCATATCTTTGTTTTCTTGAAATTCTTTGTAACTATTCTAACAGTGATTAGCTAAGCTTAAAGTATGACCTATATCTATCTGAGGCTCAAAACAAATTATTTTCTGGGAAATAGAAATCCTTTACCTGGGAGATAAGATGTTAATGACAAAGTAGCCACACAAGAGTGGACTTTTTGGGGTCTGGGGCAGTGCTAAGTAAGGTATGTCTTTACCTGAATCATCTAATACTTCTATTTTGAGGAAATTATTAAATTATTTTTTAGTGATGATACCAAGGTTCAAATTTTGGTGAACTTTATGAATTTAAGGGATCCAGGTTTTAAACATAGAACTTTCCAGTTGTAGCATACATACTTCCTAGTCTAACAAAGGATATAAGATGTGTGGTGAGTAGAAAAGGATCTTTGAGGATAATCACAGGGAGTCAGGGATTAAAAGAAAATTCTTAAACTTCAAGAAATACTTGGTTTTTGGCACAGGCAACCAGAAACTGAGATGTATTTTCACTGATATGAGAAAATTTAGAAAGGGGGAAGATGGGAGGATATCAAGAATTTGGTTTTGGGCCCATTAGGTTCAGTGTGCTCATATGATTTGGATATGGTCTAATTGTATCCACCAAAGGCACATGTGTTAAAGGCTTGGTCCCCAGGATGGCACTGTTGGGTCATTTAAGAGATGGGAC